AATTATTAAATGTTAAACATAATAGTTTCTACTAACCTACAGCTATATAAGTGGAAACTGAAAAAAATAATGAATGTGACATTTGTTTTGTAATCAAAGATGAGAAACACATGTTCTTCGAATGTACGTAATGACGTATCATGGCAAAATGTTGATATGATTTTCGAAAAATTAGACAACAACAAATTATTTTTTTTAAAGAACTTCTTCTATGTTGTAACTGTGAATTTAAGAACAAGATATATTCAATTCTGTTTTTCTATCTATAAAATAAAAATTTTAACTGAGTTGAATAAACCAGTATGCAAAATCCTTGGATTATGTGCAAGAACAATGCAAAAGATTTGAATACATGAGACTTTTCATAATGCTTAAGGTATATAATACAGATATTTTAATGCATTGTATATTCAGAATATCAATTGTATTTGAACTATTTTATTTGAAAGAAATGATTTGAAAAAACCAATCGTATAACAATATTATTATTTGTATATTATTATTTTATTATATTATTGCTTCGAACTATTTTGTATAACGAGTTTAAAATATATAGAAAAAAACCAAGAAAAAAGGATAACAACAGAGTACACAATGATGATCATCAGTAACAATATTGAACATTTTGTGATAACTCGACAATTAAATAATTAATGAAGGAGGTTGATTAGCACATGAGAACAAAAAATTTTAAAAATATCGACAAAAAGGTGGAAGAACAAAGAGTTAAGTTACAGAATGATAATTAGTAGAATTATTGATTATTATTATTGTCATGTATTAAAACAAATGTTTAGGCACTGTCGTTTTGTGGGAACTTAGCAACAATATCTAAAGTGGTGGGGCTCAGGGGAACGGAATTGCAAGCAGTTTTCAAGGTTCAATAAGAAAGAATTGAATTATCACGTCCTTAGCAATACATAGGCCTAACTAGGAAATGGTATAAGGTTGGATAATACAATCATGATTAAGAGAGATGATGCATTAGTCTCAAGACGCTTATTCTAAGACTGGACCTTACTCACAGTATAAACAATGCTTAGTAATATTAGAACTATGTACTATATTGATGTGAATCAGATTAATGTTGATGAACATAACATTAAATTGGTAGAAACACAAGTATGGCAATAAATTAGTCAATTTGAATAAACACTAGAATAATAAGACAGAAATGGAGGGGGAAAAAAAGGAAAATTATAATCATATTCAGGTCTGAGGGTGACATTTCCAGCCATCTAGATGTGCCATAATAAAAAAATGTTCATACCCCAGCTCCAAGCATGGTTGGGCTGAGGTGGTATACACTCCCCATGTGTGAAAGTCCCTCCGGGCCCCCTCTATTTTTCGAATTCCTGGATCCGCCACTGACATTTATACAAGCCTAGTTCTCACCGTTAGCGCTAACCGTTAGCACCTGCGTGAGAACGCCCGATCAGTTAGCGCTAACTGTTAGCGGTATCAGGATACGCTAACGGCAAGTTGAGGGCGTTTCTATCATCAACCAATCACACGTACGCGTTTACAATTTCCAGTTTCTTATTGGCCAGTGATTTCGATCATCATATTGTTGGTATCCAGATCGGGATTTTCTCGCATGGACGCACGGCAGCTAACGGTTAGCAGAATCCAATATCAAATATTTATTCAAGACGGTAGCTTTGAGAAAAAGAGAAGAAAGATGTTCATTCAAAAATTAACAATTGTTATTAAATGTAGGCCTATGTGTGTGTCGTGAGTTTTGTATGCGTATAACACTCAATTTATTAACAAAATTATTTTTCAGCAGTTTACTTGTAGAAGCAGGCTTAAAGCCGTGGGCTTATCTGGCTTTCTCCAGACTTAACTTCATTTTTTATATTTTTTATAAAAACATTTTGTTTATTATAATTTCTAATGATGCATTTATGTGAATATAATTGAAATGGAACTTGAATATATACCGTACCTGATAACAATTACTAGATTACGGAGTAGCCAATACGCAAAGATTTCAAATTCTCTCATATTAAAGTATTCGTATATGCAATTTTACATTTTGGTTTGGTGAAAATAACATGTTTAATATTTTAAAATAATTCAACATAAATAGCTAGCGAATTACCTGTTTATGCAAATAAATACATAGATGCACAGACTGGTCGGCATATCGTCGCCAAATTCCCAGACTAAGCTAAGATTTATACTTCTCTGAGGTTTATCTCTAGTTGAGGCGTTTTAAAACCAAACGCAATTATGCCGAGGACTTCAAGGACCGCCGTCGTCAGTGTGGTTAAAGCTTCTAGAAAATAACATATTATTTGTGAAAAATAAATTTACCAAAGTGCAAAAATTTCGAGATTTTAACATAGAGATGAGGCCTAGGCCGTAGAAAATTCACTATTCACTATCTGGTAACAACCAGACTTGTTCAGTAAATAGAACTTAATGTGTGAATAGAAATCCTTATAAGACACTCACTGTTAAAGAGATGGAGCGCAAAAAATTTTACATTATTTTATAAATGACATTTCTGTTGGTGTAATTAACTCCACTATACAACTATACGCTGATGACTGTATTATATATAGAAACATTAAATCCCTATCTGACTGTCACAAGCTTCAGGATGATTTGTCCACTGTGTTTAACTGCTCAACCGATTGGAATTTAGGATTTAACGCTTCCAAATGCAAAACCATGCGTATTACAAGGAAACGGAACCCTATTACATTTAGGATTAAGTCTGTTGCATCTTCTTTTTGTTATGGAAAAATGAGGGTATTGTCAATAGTAACACCGAGGTACGTTTCTAATGTTGACCAACTCAAAGTATGGTTGCCAAGGGAATAACAGTAGTCTGATGATGTAATAGGGTTCCGTTTCCTTGTAATACGCATGGTTCTGCATTTGGCAAATTGCCGCATAAACATCTTTAATCAAGCTTTATGTTTTCTTAATTTGCCCACATCTTGTGAGTTCTCTGCCTCTGCGATTGCCATCCCTACAAAGTGGGTATTTTCCAAATGCAGGACGTGTGCAGCGTCGAGTAGCCCGCTTCATATTAGTTCCCTTACTGCTCTCCAACTCTCTCTAACTTTTTCAGCTACTTCTCTTTCAATTACAACCAGACTCGATTTAATTATAATTTCAGACTTACAGTTCCAATGCACCTACTGATACTCTTAAATACTCTTTTTCACACAGAACTGTTGTTGACTGGAATGCAATCCCTAGGCATGTTATAGATTCTCCTTCTCTTTCTGTTTTTAAAACAAGAAGTTTATGCTGTCTTTCTCTTCATCATTCCGATTCTTGACAATGATTCTTGTTATATTTATGACTTCGAAGGAAAATAATTTCATGGCAGCTTTCGTTGTTTACGTAGCTATTCGATCATAAATAACTCATTGATTATATACATTCGAGGGGTCTTTTAGGTTCACTTAGAACCAATGTGGATTTTGAATTGTCTCTGTTAAAAAGAATTAATTATCAAAAAATTATAAATAAAGGTGGGTCATCCACACGAAAGAAAACAATGTTCAATAGAAATAAATTGCAGAATCAATTACGCATAGAGACACATAAAAAATAATGGTGGTAGCTAATGTGAAGATTTAAATAGATTAGGCCTAGTCTTGACTGACAATTATTATATAATAAATAATTATTTACTCGTTCCAATTTTTCTATTTATTATTTTATTAATTTTATTTTTTTTTAATCGGTTTAAATAATAGGCCTACTCAAGATAACACACACGATTAAAATGAAGAGTTTACAAAAGATGCAGTATAGAAAACGATATATACAATTCATAAAATTCTGAACAGTTCTTCCTAAATACAAATGAATTGAACAAAAACATTTACAATGTACAATTGAGATTTAAAAGTTAAATTTATTTATTAAAAATATGTAATTTATGAAAACATGTTCAATACAATAAATTGCAAAAACATTAACAGATTTTCATGGAACACGGCACAAGAAGCCAAATAGAAAAAAATAAATAAACAAAGAAAAAGGAATAACTCAAAAGGCAGACACTGTTCAAAACTCGTCCAATCACGCTTGAAATAGTTTAAAAAGCAAATCCCAACCAGCCTTTCAAGTTTTACTTTTTCAGCAAAGCAACATTTGAAGTAATCTGGCGTCAACTAGTTCTTCCTAAAATTGTGAAGGATAACTTTAGTCTCTGTTGTAGAAAAATGAAATTGAGCATCCCAAGTGATTGTTCGTAATTATCATAATTACGGCATTCAATGATGACTAGTTTTTTTTTTTTTTTTTTTTTTTTTTTTTGGACGAATTCAAGTTGATCTTACTGTTTCTTGGTAACTGAAGTTTGCTGGCATACTCAAGTAACGACGGATATAAGTTGAAAATGTAAAGACAAAGTCGTCCATCGATGCTCTATAACGCTTTAAAGATATAAAGCATGAAGTCTATGGTCAGTTCGACCTAAGGGAGAAAGGTTAGATGGATGCATAATTCCGAAATGTTAGTAAATATATTATCTAGACGAATGGGGAACTTTACTAAATTTTTGGGCTGTTGTGGCATTGGAACTATAATACGAGGAGCTCTTTCAGGATTAATTATTGAGTTAATTATTGGGATTATATTACGCATATTGCTACCGGGACGACGTCCACTTTTACGCTTAAAAAAACAATTTATAGACCTTGACGAAGATTTAATCCTACTAAACTAATAATTTTAATTTTATTAAAAAAAATGAAATGAAATAGTCCAGAGAAATTAAATCAGATGAAATAACCTCACAGAATTGCTAGGTCCAAGGTATTAAATGTCGTTAAACAAGACACTTGAATAGCAGCCTTTCCTTTGATTGAATGCAAAACTCAACACTGAAATATCAGTATCAAGCCTAAAAAAAAACGGTACAATTTTCAAAAGACGACAGGAAATGACAAACTAACGATAAAATTGGCCAAAACTAATCTTACATAAACATCAAAAGCCAGAGTAGATAAAAAAAAAAAATAGAAAAGTGAAAAAAAAAACGGACCACTTTACATCCAGTGCTAGGCAGACATCTAGACCTATTCGGCGCCAGATTACAATTTTAATTTGTAAATAATAATAATTAAATATATATATAACGGAGAATGACATGAACCGAGAGGTCCACTGATTAATCTCAGATAAGATAGTCACATACTCCAAGTATCGAAATGCACGACATCGTGTCGGGATTCAATATTCCGAACTTAATTATGTCAACATCAGGAATGACATTTCATGTAATAAATATTTTTTATAAAATCAATTATTCTAAAACCGGCTTATAACTAGATATTTTTTGTTCTTAATTTTCTACTAAAGTTACTATGATATTAACTAAATATTTTAAATAACCCTTTCTTAAAATCGCGGTACTTAAAGGCGTAAATGAAGGGATTAACAGCCATATTAGAGACAGATAGAAACACAGTTATACGATGGGCGATGCCGTGACCAATATTACTTGGTTTATTTCCAGATGTAACATTAAACGTAACGTAAAGAAACATATTTGGTGTCCAACAAACGACATATGCTGCGGACACAGCAATTAAAGTGTTGATGAGGTTCTTTTGAGCACGATACTGTCGCAAACCGTGTACTGGTCCGACACCGTCGGGAAAATTTTCGTGCATTTTTCGCAGCGTCAAGATAATCCTTGCATAAACATAGATAATGACCGAAGTCGGGAGCAACCATGTAAGAAAGAATACCAGAATTCCATTAATCAATTGAAGATTTGTGTCCGGCCAATTGTAGTGGCAATAATATAAATCATTGATTTCCGCAACAAAGATGAGATGAAACTGTGCTAAGAATCCGTATACATACACCAAACGTTTGCTTGCTTGGTAGAACTTCCCGTTTTTGAAATGAACAAGGTGTTTGAGAGGATAAACAATAGCATAGTATCGTTCAATTGTAATACACACGAGGTTGGTGGTAGATGAAGTGGCAAGAATCCAGAAAAGAGAACGAGCTTTACAAAAAACGTCGCCTGCCTGCTCGTTTTGTATCAGCCATCCCTCCGGAATTACATAAAACGGTAGAAATACAACACTAGACATCAGATCGATTATTGATTGATGAATAATTAATTTAGCGGTCACATTTCGGTGGCCAGGCAAATTCCGAAAGAACACAACCAGCACCATCAAATTTGCAAAGATACCGACCACACCAATGGATGCATAGATGCACATCCAGGTACCTCCATCGGGCCGCAAATCGGTTCCCCATGCCCAGCTAAGATTCAAGTTAACCATTCTCAGGTACTCAGCTTCGGTATATACGTTTTAAGGAAATATATACATAAGCCAAACGACTTTCAATTTGTATATACCGAGAACATCCAGGGCCTACAAAGACGTTGTCAGAATGCATTGTCTCCTGATGGTCTCATTGCAAGTGATTTTGACAAGGCTTTTGTTTGTCTAGCATGATTATGTATGCTAATAATTTTCACATTTACAACGTGGTTCACTGAACATCTAATTGTGTCACTGCACTTCTGACTCATTTTCACGTTATTTTTTAATTCGTTGTTAACATGTACGCAGATTATTTACACATTCATAACGAGAAAACTGAACATCACAGCTAGAATGGGAGGGACTTCGAACTTCCGTAAAGAAAATTAAAAAAACGTATAGAAATTAGTTTTAAAATGTTATCATTACAATATAATTAATTTAGAACTTACGAAGAATTGATAAGCCACTGGATGAAAACAGATCTCAGTAATTATACAGCAAAAACCGTTAATTGCATTTGAGTTCGAGTATTGACCCGGGTTATGTGTCTGTGAGTCAGATTTATAAAATAATTCCCACCACAAATTATTTAATTAAAACATTGCAGGACTAAACACCGTAAGATAGGCTAAGTTAACAATTTCAAATGAAGCACACATAAAATAATTAAGTAAAATCGTTTACAACCAAAGTAAAACCTGTTCACCAGACTATTAAATGTATTTGATAAAAACATGTGAAATCTTTAATATGGTAATGATGACGTCACATCATGGCTATTCATCGGCACATTATGACTATATTTGGGCATTCCGACTCAGTGAGTAGGACATTCATGTTAAAAACACTGAAAAGGTTCAATTTTGGCGATTCATTTTGCAAATGGATAAGCACAATACACAATAACACCGAATGCGTATTTGTAAATAACGGATGGGTTTCAGAAAGTTTTTAAATGTATAGTGGTATAAGACAAAGTTGTCCTCTGTCGGCGTTATTGTTTATTTAGTTTTAGAGATCATTTTACAGGTAAACTCAGATATACGAATTTATATGGAACGGAAAAAGGAAAAAATAAAAAGATAAACATTAATTGGTAATCTAACCGAAGGAGGTATAAATAGGCCGAGATAAGCTCCAGCCCTATGAACCCCAGTGGCTCGGAAAGGATTTAGTAATAGTTAGTTTCTTTATTTACTTATGTCTTCTGGCATAATTAGCTAGCATATTTTATAAATCGATATTCGATTTTTTTTATCTTTATTTTCTTAAAACCAATAGAATTTTTAAATAGTCTTAGTTACATTTCTTGGCAAACTTTGCAAGTCTCAAATATTTACATAAAAAACCCAAATGAAGCTTTTTCAAGAATTAAATTAATATTTAATATGTATAAACCTAAGCATGGAAATAGGAGAATAAACGCCCCCTAAGTGACTATAGCAAATCTAATGTAAGCAGCATCATTCTTTACATTCTATTAATATTCTCCAGGACAGATACATGTATTCTAACCTGGTTGTGATCAATAAGTGTGATGTGATTGGTTATGTGTTGAAATTCCACATTTATACACCAAAAGTAAGTGTATTTATTTTAACAACATAATAAAACAAAACAAAACAAAAACAGAAAAAGCCTTGGGGCGTTTATTCCAATAAATACGTTACAATAATTGGTGCAAATGTTCAAAGTTAACAACTGAGCAGTCAGTGTCCGGACTAGGCGCATGCACCCCCCCCCCCTCGACAAACAGGCATGTTGCGTATGTTTAGGCGCTGTCGTTTTGTGGGAACTTGGCAACAATATGTAAGGGGTGGGGCTTGGCGGAACGGAATTGTAAGCAGTTTTCAAGGTTCAATAAGAAATGAATGGCGCGTCCCTAGCAATGTAGACCTATAGGAAATGGCATAGGGTTGGATAATAAAATTAAAAGATTGTACTTTACTCACAGTGTCAACAATGCTTAGTAATATTAGACCTATGTACTATATTGATGTAAATCAGATTAATGTTGATGAACATAACATTAAATAGGTAGAAACTCAAGTATGGCAATAAATAAGTCAATTTGAATAAACACTAGACTAATAAGACAGAAAACTTTAATTTTCAATATCAAATGTTTATTCAAGACGGTAACTTTGAGAAAAATTAATGTTGATGATGAAAATAACATTAAACTTGTAGAAACACAAGTATGGCAATAAATAAGTCAATTTGAATCAGTAGACTAATAATACAAAAAAAAAATTTCAATATCAAATATTTATTCAAGACGATAACTTCGAGAAAAAGAGAAGAAAGATGTGCATTCAAAAATTAACAATTGTTATTAAATGTGTGTGTTGTCGTGTGTTTTTGTATGCGTATAACACATTAAATTTATTAACAAAAGGACCGCCGTCGTCAGTGGTTGCTTCTAGAAACGTTGTACAGTGCAAATATATTATTTGAGAAAAACAAAGTTACCAAAGTGCAAACACTTCGAGATTTTTACTTAGAGATGAGACCTAGTCCGTAGCAAATTCACTATTTGTAGTCGGTAACAACCAGCCTTGTTCAGTAAATAGAACTTAATGTGTGAATAGAAATCATTATAAGATACTCCCTGGTAAAGGGATGGACCGCAAAAGAGCTTAAATTATTTTATAATTGACATTTCTGTTGGTTTTGAGTCTCCACTGTGCAGATTCGCTTGTGTCTTTGGGCAAGGCACTTTAGCTACATTGCTTCAGTCCACCCAGCTGTATCAATGGGTACCAGCAAACTGCTGGGGACTAACCTGCGACGGACTAGTGTCCCGTCCAGGGGGAGTACAACTCTCATCCACTTCACACTACAGAAACTGGGGGATAAGCTCCAGCCCTATGAGCCCCAGTGGCTCGGAAAGAATTTAGTAAACTTCACTATACAACTATACGCTGGTGACTAATCTAAGATAAGAAAGTATAATACATACTCCAAGTATTGAAATACACGCCATCGTGTCCTGATGATGACATAATTAATGTCGAAATATTGAATCCCAACACGATGACGTGTATTTCAATACTTGGAGTATTTATTATACTTTCTTACGCTGATCACTGTATTATATATATAAAAAATTAATTTCCTGGCAGCTTTTGTTGTTTACGTAGCAATTCGATCATAAATAATAGATTATAAATAAACATTCGAGGGGTTTTTAGGTTTACTTAGAACAAATGTGGATTTTAAATTGTCTCTGTTAAAAAGAATTAACAATTGTCAAAAAGAAAGAAAACAATATTTAATAAAAAATAAATTGGAGAATCAATAACGCATAGAGACACAAATATAATAATTGTGTGGTAGCTAATGTTAAGATTTATAACGATTAGGCCTAGTCTTGACTGGGAAGTATTATATAATAAATATTTATTTACTCGCTCTAACTTTTCAATTAAATCCTAAAACTTTGACATTTAATATACAACGCATGGTTGAAATGAAGAGTTTACAAAAGATGCAGTATAGAAAAAATAATCATGAAATTCAAAAAACAAAATGATATATACAATTCATAAAATTCTGAACAGTTCTTCCTAAATACAAATTAATTGAAAAATATTATTTACAATGTACAATTGAAATTTATACGTTAATGTATTTATTAAAAATATGTAATTTATGAAAACAAGGTAAATACAATAAATTCTAAAAAAATTTACAGATTTTATGGAACACGGCACAAGAAGGCCAAATAGAACAAAAATGAACAAAAGAAAATGGAATAGGCTAACCCTAAAGGCAGAAACTGTTCAAAACTACTCATTTTAGTCCAATCACGCTTGATATATTTTAAAAAGCAAATTTCAACCAGCCTATCGAGTTCCAATTTTTCAGCACTCCAACTTTTGAATTGATCTGGCGTCAACAACAAGTTCTTTCAAAAATTATTAAGAATAACTTGACGTCTGTGCTGTAGAAAAATCAAATTGAGCATCCCAAGTGATTGTTCGTAATTATCATTAAAAAAAAAAATGGCCGAGCGGTTAGCAGGGGCGCCGCAAGCTATAGTCATAATATCGGCGATGGTTCGAACGGCACGCCCGCCTATGGTTCTGGTGGTAGAAAAAGTCTTCTCTGATATGGACTATAAAACGTAGGTTTTAGTGTATACAATGGCCTATGTGCACTATAGAGAACTCAGTACATCCTGCGAGACGAGTAGGGGGATACCCCGGTGTACTAGAACAAACAGCTCCTGCGGTGGACGACGAGAGTTGCTGGTACCGGGTTACCGGATAGCACAGACACGAAGAGACCCTTAGGGGCGAAGAAAGTCATTGATCGAGTTCCTAGTTCAATATCAAGCGCCCTGAGCATCTTACAGATGGATATGTGCGCTGTATAAAAAAAAAAGTCTCGCCTAAGAAAGAGCAGGTCATAGCAAAGTGCGTATTAGTTAGATTAGCAACAATTCCTTGATCACAATAAGGTTCAAAAGCAATGCTTTGGGTTTATAGCTTCTTGACTTCTTATGCCATTTACCATTTTTCATCCTCAATAAGTTTCTTTATATGCTGGTTGACCAAGGCTTGCCATTCTCTTTGACTCGAACCACAACTGAAGGGAAGCAGATTTTATAGAAATCTCTTATGACACTTTCAAATTTTTTGTAGCCATGCATTCAGTATCAGTTCCAGAAAGTAAGTTATTCCAATTAAGTTCTGTAATCAATTGACCAAATACCCATAAATCGTTTAAAGGACGACAAACCTAGGTTTTTATACTTTTCATGAACAACAATAGGTTCAGACAGAATGCAGGCATGGTCACTTCGACCTAAGGCAGAAATTTAGATGGAGGCTGGTATAATTTCGAAATGTTAGTCAACATTTTATACAGACGAGTAAGGAACTTTACTAATTTTAGGCTGTATGGGAACTGAAAAAAGTACCTCTTTTAGGATTAATTATTGAATGAGCTATCCTATTCACATGTACAAGAATTATCTTTACGCGATACCGGGACGACGTCCACACTTACGCTTAAAAACCATTCATAGTCCTAGACGAAGATTTAATCATACTAAAAGAATAATAAAGAAAAGACAAGTTAAATGAAGTAGTACAGATAATTAATCAAACCAAGTGAAGTATT